CCTTCCCCCCTGAGGAGGACACAGAGGTAGATCAAATCTTCACACGCGCCCACAACACCGCCTCCACCACCAACGCCCTCAACAGCAACAACAACAGCAGCAACAATAACAGCACCATCAGTAACGGCATCGTTCGCGGCAGCAGTCACAACTACAACGGCTACATCCACCAACACCACAGCAGCAACATCTACAACAACAACAACGACCAAAAGAACTCAGTCCCCTACAACAACAACAACAACAACAACAACAGCAACAGCAACAGCAACAGCAACAACCGTAACAGCGGATACACCCACACCGGACACCAGTACTACTCCAACACCACCACCACCACCAACAACAACAGCACCAACAACTACAACAGCACCAACAGCTTCTTCAAATCAGCCCCTCTCCACTCCCCCTCTCCCCCACTCCCTCCCCCTCCCCTCGCTATATCCCCGGACGCCTCCAGTCCCTCCACGGTAGGCTCACCCATCTCCCCGCCCACCCCGCTCCACGAAGCACCAGGGTTCGGATCCCCGTACCACGAGGAGGCCCAGGAGACAGTGTCCCGGCTACACTCCGAGGTAGAGGGCTGGGCCCACGCGCCACGCTACAGCCAGGATTTGGGAACCGAACCTTTGATCCGACGCACTGTGTCCAGAATATCGGGTGAGTCAGTCACAAATGTTTTTTGTCATGTGTTGTTTTTCTGGTTGGAGTGGAATTTTCTTTCCTAATAATGATAATGCTAGTGATAAGAATGATAAAAATGATGAAAGTACAGTCTAACTAGCTCAAAAGACCACTGGTATAAATCATTTAGATCTATGACACTCGCAATGATGGTAGATCATGATTTATCCTACTTGTGAAATTTCCAAGTTTCAACGAGTGATTACAACTGGCAATAATTTCACAATTAAGATAAATCACGTCTAACACTATAACGAGCGTAATAAATGTTTTATACCATACTGATATCAGCTGGCGAAATACATCCGGACCACCAAAGTTCAAATGGCCCGTCAGTTGGACAAGAGGATCCATTCTAGAGTGTCACATGAAAACACAATGTTCACGCGAGTCCGAGTCGAAGTAAGGATTGGACAAAAATCTGGATTTTTTTCCTTTACTTTCAGCCACGCTAACCTACAAGTTGTGCCGTCCGTATGTCTCCCTCCGCGAAACAAACCACAAACAAAACGATAATAACGTGGATGTAAGGGCACCCGAGCACACACTAGAGCTCTCAGAAATATTATCGGCCTCCCTGGAAGCATACAATGCAAGCAGCCAATTAGTTAAGCGATCAAAGATTAACAAACTGATTTAGATCTTTCGCTACAGCCTTGTAGGCCTACCAATTCCCATCTGGGTGAAGTGAGGAACATTCGTATAAAGTCCCTTTCATAATATCGCATTGGGCGTGTGTGTGTGTGTGTGTGTGTGTGTGTGTGTGTGTGTA